CTATTGATACTAATAACACCTCTTTTAGCATAACAAGGTCAAAGGTTAATGCATTACAGCAGAAAACATGATCAGGTTTGACTCTAGCACGCTGCCGGATGAGCTACTCATGGCGCCTAAACCTCAACAAAGCCAATATAACTACAGAACTCCAAACAGCAAACAGCTATTTTAACAGCTAGTTAGTTAGTAAAATAAACTAGAAATCTAAATAAGAGGTTCTACAATTCCTGACCTGCAAAGTAGTTTTAGCGAATTAGCCAACTAACTCAGTCTTGTATTTGGCGCCAAGCAATTCTCCACACATCCGCTACTTCCGGGTTTAAACTCCTGTCCCATACTTTATACAGCTCTACACATTATAGACATAACTCTAATTTTCAGTTAAGTAACTCTAATATCTTACCTAATATCGGGATAAAACGTTTCTTTTTGTTTCCAGACACAAGAGGAGACACGGAGGAGCTCCTCGTCTCACCGCTGACAGAAACAACTGGCGCGCTTCTCCACTCTGAGGAACACTTCACCAATCAGCTGGCGCGTTTTCGCCCTCTGACGACTGCCGCGAGCCGAGTTCTGATTGGCTAGATCAACCTCAAAGGACCTGAACATCCAATAGAAACACTGGCCCCGCCTCCTGTAGGGTTGGGCCACTTTTAGATGGCGGGTAGTTCCTTTGTTGACACACTGCTGAGGAAAAAAAAAAAATTCCCGGCAAATTTTAAAGCCAGTGTGAATGCTCTTTGTGATGAAATAATTGGGCTTTTAGTCTTTCTAAAACAACAAGCAACAAGAAAAAGCACATAATCCTTTTTTAATCCCCATAACCGTTTTTATTTCAAATTTAACAAGAAAGTCATACAAACATACCCAAAACGTTTCAACATGAACATTTGGCAGGCCATGGTAACTTACTTACAATTACAATTAGCCAAGTAGAATGAGAACAGAAATACAGCACAGATGCTCTCTGGCCACATGTCAGCATAAACCACTGATGGGAAAGGGTCCTGGTAAGAAACAGGGCTTGCTTCTTTGTAATTTATAATCTTTTAATGTCACATGTTCAATTATAGGCTATGTTTAATTCTCTATATTACACATTTTTACAATAAAAAATATCTAGCTACATATAGTGTATTATACATTACATTTAGATTTCTCTAGAACCATTCACACTGAATCTTTAAAAAAAAAAAAAAAAAAAAAGCATTGGTACCAGTAAATTAGTGACAGATTGGAAACAGCCAAATCTGCTTTAGCATTACATGTAATTCATAGTAATTCAAGACAATGAACGGAGAAGACGGTTGTATTTTCAGCAGCACAGTTTGCACCACACATACACAAGCAGGTCCTTCACACAAACATGGCAGAACCTACTGTAAATACTGTGGGCTTAGTGGCACTTAGTGTATTTGGTCAGTTCTAAAGAAGTGGTTAAGATCTGCTAAGTTTAAGACATGCACATCAGTTTTTAAAAAAAATCCCTTTTTACGGACAGAAATGATGCATTTGCACTGTTTCTGGCAACCCACTTTAGCTGCAAAGTAAACCGAATGGTTGCTCAAATATTCATACATATTAATACACTATTGAGAGATGAAGCTTAAAAAGTAATGGTTTGCATAATTAGAAATTTGTATAGCCCCATCATGTTGGCCAAATAATCAACATGATTTTATTAATAACAGTTTTAAAATCTTGTCTAATAATAACAACACACTGGATCCCTTATGGGAGAAACAGGCTATGATAGACTAATTCTTTTTTTTAATTCTGTGACAAAAAAAAAAAAAAAAGTCAATCTTTACATAATGCAATGATTGTCTACTGATTCCTTTATGTAATCTCTCCTTTCACTCTAATAGCGTTAATCATGATTAACAATTGCTACAAAAATGGTACTATGGTATCTGTTGCACAGATAATGTGGAATGCATGTTATATATATATATATATATATATATATATATATATATATATAGCTTGTGTAGGTCCTCTTAACACTCCATGAAGTCAGATAGCACATGAATTGATCAGGACCATGACACTGCAGTGTTCTCTGGTCTAGAGGTACATCAGCCTGGAGCTGTTTAGACATCATGTAGTGTGCTTAAAACATTCGGTTTATCTTAGATGTATGAAAAAGTGTCTTTTTCACTTGCAATGCATAGTTAGTTACTATTTATTTGCGAATGAAATTTCTAAATAATTCAAACATATGTGCAAAAGTTTGGTCACCTTCTCACACACTATATAAAGTATGTTAAGTTATATATAAAATTATGTTAACTAATGGCCTAAATCCTCTTCACCTGAGAATATTTCAGTTAGTCAGGTAAAGTTTGCATTCTGCTAAAGACAGCTTCTGGTCTCTTTTGTATGCAGCTGTGATAGTGTTCGTGTGTGTGTGTATAATTAGATTCAAAAGGTTTAGCCGTTTTCCTCTTGGAGTGCAGATCATCTCCCAACAGGTGGCGCAGGGGGAGCTCCTCGTGTCACGGCTACAGTGTGAGAGAATACAGAACGTTTATTATCAGGCATGGTGGCAAAGCAATATGGGAGAAATGACAAGAGACTCGGATGATATACAGATATACAAAACCATTCATCTCGCATACTCACGAGTCTTAGGAGATGCCAGACCCTCTTTAATAGCTCAAGAACACTTAACATTGATTGTTTTATCAGTTTGATCCTCAACATCTTTTTGTGCTTGTGTATTTGGACATATGTAGCCCAAATTACGATTGCACAAGAAATTGTATTAAAAAAAAAAATAAAAAAATAAGTGTATTCTCAATGCAATTCAGTTCAAGCACAGCGCCATTATTCCCTCTTATTTGCTGTGCCCAGTAACCATAGACACTGTAACCCCCTGACCTTATACTCACACCTGAAGCGCAGAAAGTCTACAGAAGAAAAAGGAGAGAAACACTCTCAGAAACTTTGAGTGAATTTTAATGACCCGAATGGCCGCGTGAAGGAACAAATTTGTGCTTAACCAATATTTGATAGGTATTGAATATTAAACTCCCAATTACTAAACAAAGTGTGTGAAATACTAAATACTAAGCCAAGAAAAAAAATAATTCAGGATTACTACTTCATCCAGAATCATGCAGCCCTAATACAAAGCATGAAATATTCTTTATTCGGTGCTTAAAGGTCATTTACGGATTTCAGCACCTTTATGAAATGTCCATTTTGTGGAGCAAAAGTAAGAGTTCAAGCTTTTAATGTTATCTTTATACTTAGTTTTAACTAGGTCAAAAAAAGATGAGAGAAAAATCGTACATCTTAAAATGATCGTTTGTGCATTCATATGTACAGCATAGGGGTGTCTGGGGTGCCATAAACCACAAACAAGTAAAGCCAATTAAAAAAAAACAAACATTCACATGAATGCTAAGGATGTTCGATTTGAATACAATGCTGCTATTCCACATTAAACAAGGGGGCATTTGTATGTCACTAAACTATAAATAAATTAAGGCTTGGAAATGGCAAATGAAGCCATGGATCACCAGAACTGTGCTATTCAAAAACAACTCATCGGCTCATAAAGTGCTTAACAGACAGCTACGCTGCAGTGGGATTCAGACTACATGTATCTTAACGGCACCAAACCAGCCACTACAGCTGCACGCTGGAATTTTGCCATGAAATTCAGACTGACTGCTGTTCATATACTGTACACATATCGCAAAGATTGTTACAAAATGTTAAAAACTACAGTCCGCTACATGTAGTGCTTGGGAAAACTGGTTCTTACCTTTATTGGTTTTACTGGGATAGATTTTTGTGAACTGTCTGTACTCTTCTGGAGGTGGCAGATCCTCAACAGGATGGAAGGAGTACTTGGACTCAAACTCATCTGAAAAACAAAAAGCAGACACCAGAATAGTTTCATAGTTTAACTACTAAAGAAATCTACACTGTTATACTACACAAATGGTATGCGTTATTTGCATCTGAAAAAGATTTTTATGAAGAATATGTGTTGTGTTGAAGAAATTATTTAATTGTTTAACTGAACCGATTTAAAAATGTGAACTAATTTTCGTGAATGTCCTTATTGATTCCAGTAAGTGACTTCTACTTATCACATATCCGCATATCAGTAACAAAAGCACACAAAGTATCCGGGATGATCTAGGCCATGCCCATTTATTAAACTATCGGTTTCTCTTTTATCAGGCATAAAAACCAGAACGTACACTTCCTTTTCCACATTTTCTAATCTGTCCAACCATGAACTTCACCTGGGAATAGGACAGGGAGGTATTTATCTGTGACCACAGCACCATAGACATGTTTCTGCCCAGCTGATCTGACTTGAAAAGATCTCTGCATTCTGTGCATGCTCTGTATTGGTTTACATAAAGAGGAACTGCAGAGGCCCGATTTGAATTCCTGAGAGATCATTTGACTGCAGTACTATTTCCCGACACTGATAACGTTCAAAGTGTAGATAAAATGATCAGCCACAGTCAATGCTTGAAGGCAAACGTCTAAACTTGACCTCTAGTGTACTCTCAAGCTGCTTTCTCCCGCAATAGATTATTGTAGTTATTGGCCTTGTAGTCACACACACACACACACACACACACACACAAACAAACACACACACACACACACACACACACACACACACACACACACACACACACACACACACACACAGCCAAAGTAGATGGACATAACACAGATAAAGAACTGGTTTTGTAATATTCTGCTGAATACAGTCCTGAATATTTGGAATATTCGAATATAAATATAAAAACCTGGACAGGGGCAGAAGTAACAAAAATTATCCATCCAAAACAATAAAGGAGGCAGACCAAATGCTGATTTATATGCCAAAATGACACCGAGGTAACTAAACAATAAAATATAAATGATTGTCAGATTACATTTCTAACAGGTTTTTAAATTCACACGTTACCTCATAAAATAATATTTGTTACTTTGACCCTTTGTCACTACCTTTCATGTTTATGGTATTGGTTAATGGTTAGGCCACAGTGCTCTCACCGCTGCGGCCGGGGTTTGATTCCCGGCTAGGGAACCAACCCCAGCCACTGGCGTTATGTGAGGAAGGGCATAAAAACTGTGCCAAATCAAATACACGGACCAATGATCCACTGTGGCACCCCCCTAATGGGAGCAGCCGAAAGAGGAACAACTTCAATTTAACTTCAACCTCTCAGCAATATGCAGCTAGCAGACTAGCTGCAGATGTGCAAATCATAGCTTGATAATAACAACACGTTTAATTTATGAGGAGCATTGTAATCATATCAGCAGTTTTGCATGTTCACATAAATGACACCTGAACTTCACTGTTTTCCAAAACTTTTCATGTGGGTTTTTCTGACCTCCAGGATTTCCCCCAAACTGTTGCCACAAAGTTGGAAGCACACAATTGTATAGGATGTCTCTGTATGTTGTAGCTTTACAGTTTCCCTTCACTGGAACTAAGAGGCCCAAACCTGTTCCAGCATGACGATGCCCCTGTGCACAAAGCGAGCTCCATGAAGACATGGTGTGTGAAGGTTGGAGTGGAAGAACTCGAGTGTCCTGCACAGAGCCCTGACCTCAACCCCACTGAACACCTTTGGGATGAACTGGAACAC